TCGGGCAACTCCTCCCCTGTCCTTGATCTCTGCGTCTACCACCTCGTCGCCCTTCGGTGACTTGATCTCTGCGTCTACCACCTCGTCGCCCTTCGGTGGCTCCATCTCCTGCAGAGCGCCGTGAGATGCAAATCCGAAGCCCCCGAGCACTCGCGCTCCTCCGCTTGAGCAGCCTCTGGCTCTGGAGCCGGGGGGGGAACCGCCGGAAGCTCCGGCTCCCGAACCGGGACCGCTGCGACGGGCGGCTCCTTCTTCGCGGGCGGCTCGGGTGGCGCGACGGGCGGCTCGCCCTCGGCCACGCCCTGCCTTGAAAGCGCATATTCAGTGGTCGGTGCAGCCAAAACACCCGTCTTTTTTCGGGTGCAGCCCAGAGGCTTCAGAGGCTTCGGCTTCTTGTCATCGACCTCAGCCCAGCTCTCTGGACATGGCCATCTGCAGGCAAGGAAGCTTCAGGCCCTTCAGGGCCGACCTTTTTTCCGGAGCCCTTGGGAAACTGCGTCGGCTTCTGAACGCGACGCAGATATGGTTTTAAGGGCATCGACCGACGCAAAACAAACGGATGAGCATTCATCCAGAGACCGCTGTGGGCCTCCGTCGCCATGTTCTGGCGACGGGTGACACAGAAATGGACAGAACCTCGCCTGTCCTAGTCAATCACGATCCACGCGCAACGTCACTGTGCTCGACGCTATCATGCAATCGTGCCATGTTGTCCACCAGCCTCCTGATGCACTACGACAGGTTGCGAGAGCAACTATACTTGTCGCGACCGTGGCTCGGCTCCTAGTCAGGCAGGAAAGTCACAAAACTTCGAGCCGCCCTGGTTTTGCCAGTGACAGCGAACTTCGACCGCCCTGGTTTTGCCAGTGACAGCGAAAGAAAACGACCGACCTCACTCAACATGGTGTGGCCTGCCTGCTACACATATCTGAGAATCAAAACACTTCTTCAACATAGTCACCACGTGCTATTTCGGCAACCCTTTCGCACTCTTCTGGGTGTCCATCGAAAGCTTGCAGCAAGAAAGCTGGGACCGATTGTCCGTTTGCAAAGTCAGCCGCAGTCCAACCACGTATGTTGCGCATGTCAAGCTTTGCACCGGCTGCTATAAGGGCTGCAGCACCTGCGTATTGCGCTGAATTGATGGCCAGCATGAGCGGCGTCGCTCTGGGGACATGGTGCAGAGTTCTTGTGGCCGCAGTGACCTTGCTATATCGGTGCTGAAAAGACTTCAGGACTGTCAAGACTCCGAAAGCAGCTGAATGCTTCCAGACACTGCGTGATCGGTTCACATCGGCCCTCAGAGCCACCAAGCGCTCAACGAGCTCTGCACTCCCACCACGATGCAACATGGCACAATACAGGGCATCTGAAGCATCCATCTTATAACCCCGGCCGACAAGCTCTTCCATGGCTGCTAGCGAGCCGCAAGCACTGGCCGACTCAAATGCAGAGATGCCGAAAAGGTTGCGCACATCCGGGCTGCAACCAGCTTCGCAAAGCATACGCACACCTTCGGCATTGTTCGCATCTGCCGCACAGGTCATGGCCGGCCGCACGTAGTCCGCAGTGCCATTCACGCTCGCCTTCGCTGAGATCAGCAGTCGCGCTGCATCATTGTGGTGATAGAACAAACAAATGGCTAGTGCTGACGTCCAAGGCGGCATTCCTACTCGCGGCTGGTCGCCCTTCGTCTTCGAATTCGGATCCGCCCGCTCCATGAGTAAAGCCTTGATCACCGATGAATCGCCCCGAAGAGCTGCATAGTGCAAGGCCGACCATCCGGCACGGTCCCTCTCACGTACTCTCGCAAAGCCATGTTGGTACAGGAACTTCATGGCAATGTTCGGCTCCAGGTTACCGATGTTTTCTGGCCCCAAGTCGGGGACTGGCTCGAAACATGGCTCAGCCCGAAGGCCTTTGAGGTACACGGCCTGCAAGTTCAGCAGCACACGGTAGCTCACCTGTACTTGTCCCGAGCATCCTAGCATCCTAAAGATGGAAACAGCAAATATAGATGAAAAGGTCTGCTTGCAGTAGAGGTACGAAGTCTTGATCCCTCAGAAGGAAAAAGAGCTTCCGCCGCAAAGCTTGAGCAAGGACTGGAGCTAGTTTGTCACAGTCCTGGGCCCTGGTAAACTGCCCTTCCCCAGGTGGCCCCCCGCCAACGGAGGCTTCCGCGCCATGCACCAGCTCGATATTCGAGGAGCTTTTCACAATGATCCAGGACTCCTTCTCGCTCAGCTCCCGAAATGCCCTCTCAACTCTGCACCAACCTGCAGGGCTACAAGCAGACATCCGTGAAACACGGAGTGTTCGATCCAAGCATTGCACTTGGCGGGACATGGCTAACCTCGGGGAGTCGGCGTAGTAAGGTATCTTAAAGCATGACCCTTCCGGCCTCGCTGTGCCCAGCTGCCGGGAGTGAAGACTTTGGACCGGCTGCTGTTTTCCACGACGGGGCACAGCGCTATAAAGAACGAACACTCGGCTACATACGCAGGAATACTGCGTATGGCATTGGCGAGGTCGCCGGTTTCTTTGGCATTCGGCCCATATTCCAGCTGCGGGCAACAGAAGTAATCATACCAGACAAACAGAGGCGAAGAGCGAAGCTCTGTCGTAGGCAAGCCTTTGGCACCAGGCGTCATTACCTCTGTTACAAGGTCCACCGGTATTTGCTGCAAGTCTGACATGGCATATCGCAAGGCATCCTGAAGAACCTTCAGCTGCTTAAGCTCTGGGTCTGGATGTTCGAACCCGATCCACTGGTGGGAAATAAACATGGCCTTGCCCAAACTCCGGCAGAATTTCACAAGACGGTCGGTGGCCTTCAGCTCCTCGTAAGGTGCCATCTCTGTCATCTGCAGCAGTATGTCCACACTAACGGTGTACATCGGAAAATGCATCGAACAGCCGTCAGGTTCTACCAGCATCCGCAAGGACTTGGCATGTTCGACCAACGGGCTCTGCTTGGGAGCTGCGCAACATGGCATCAGGAGTTAGAAAGAGCTGTCAATGTCTCTGTACAGAATTTCTGTGATACTACGGGCATTGCAGCCTGAGGCGGCCAATGAAGACGAGCAGCTCAGATTTCCGTTGTTGACAACGTCACGACATGTCAAGGCACCCTTTGAGTGTCACACACCGTTCTTGGCCTTCCCCTTCCTGGAAGGCATCCAGGATGTAAGGCAAAGACCGCTCTTGCTGCCCCAGGCAATATCTCGAGCTGTTGTTCAGTCCTTCCGTCCCTGCTTCTGGACCTTGCCTGCTTTGCGACTGGCTTCTCCTGGCTGTGTCGCGTGTAGCTCTGGCAGACCCTGGCAGCCCCGATGCTGCATGGTACGAGTACTCCGAGTACTCCGAGAAGGGTTCGGCCACGCCAGTGCACGAGGCGGCTGACGGCTTTGTTTTCCGATGTTTGGCCGAACCCACCCTCAATGCACAGCACGTCAAGAACAGATTAAGGAGTAAGGTTGCAAGGTTGAAGGTAAAGCTGTTGGCGTGTGGTATGTCATGTCCTTACTATGTTATATTTCGGGGCTTCGCGGCGTATCCTCAAAATTCCGAGACTTTGGAGACTCCCGGGAGCTTGAGCTAGTTGATGGGCTAAGGCCCCAAATCTAAAGCTTATAATATGAGGGGCCTTAATAATTAGAATCGGGTTTCGAGGTATATTATACTGTAACTATAATACACCAAAAAAATTATTGGTAACTGTTTAGACCCCTATATTAAGGGGCCTAAACCATGAACCCGAAGCGGAAGGGACTTGAGGGTTCGATTTGCAAATCGACCTCCGGGCAATGGGAGGATCAAGAACGGAAGCGACAGATTCTGCCTCCGGCAGTGATCTGCACGGGTCCAAGCCGGCCCCGATGCCTCTGACCTAAGATCCAGCACTCCCGTCCTTCTCCTTGCTTGGCTTCTCTTTCTTCTCTTTCCTGCACAGTGCTACTCCACTCGTTTGCAAAGAAAAATCAGTGGGGCAGGAGATGCCACAGCAAAGCTGCCACAACCCCAAGGTCAGCGCTGAGCAGTCTTCTTTGTAGGCTCGTCGTCCTCCTGCCCACTGGACAGAATCCATGCATAACGTGAAAGATGGATCTCCGGTCCTTGCTTACCTTCTTCTTGAGGTCTTCCTCGGACGACCGCAGGAGTTTCTTCAGATCTGAAAAACCAAATAAGGGATCGGCTCTTGGACAGCCCTGCCTTTGCCTTCTTAGGCGATTCCACTTTCTCTTGCTTCTTCGCTTTCTCGGCTTCCTTACTCTGCCCAACGTGCTACACTCTGTTCTATCGCTCAAGCCCTCCAGAGGACCTCCGCTTTCTTCTTTGCTTTCGCCTCTTCCTTTCAGCCCGACACATGAGATCGGGCTAGCAGCGGCTAGCAGCGGCTAGCAGCCGCTGGCAGCACTCAGGCGGCTAGAGCAGGTCCTTCTTTCCGGCACGTCTTCGTTTCTTGGCAGCCTTCTCTTCTCGGATCTGCCTTGCCTTGGCCGCCTCTTCCTCGCTGGTGAAGCGAAGGCCGATGCTCCGTCGCACGCTGTCCTCCAGACAGACACAATGAGGCTGAGGCCCCATAAGCTGTGCCAACATCATCCGAGATCCAACCTCCGGCCGGCCGGCTTTATTCTTGACTTTCTGCGGCATTACAATCTGCTTCCCCTCCGGGAAAGGCCTCACAGTAATGAGCCGCACGGCTCTTCATAAGCAAAGCAGTCTCCCCCAATGCAAGCCAGCAGACACATCTTCGCTACGCTGCAGCCATTGCACTTCCTCTTCACTTGCTCCTAGCACAACGTCTCACAATACTCTGCCATGCTCTGCGCTGCTCAGTGCTTCAGATCCAACTCACCCACGGCCTTCTTCTTGAAGTCCAGTTCCGTTAGCGGAGACATCTCGCACACACAGCTGTGGTTCAGCCTGTCAGGAAGACATCGCCCAGAATTCCATAACCGACCTGACAAGCTCGTGCTGGCTCGCCTCGCCGTCTCGCCGCAGTAGGCGAAGCTCTGCATGGACCCAGGAGACACCAAGGTGATTGACAACCTTCTCCAAACAGCGATGCTCCCAGGGTCCCTTCATGGACTTCACCTGAAGCCTGTCACTGAGTTTGGCACCAGTCCGCCCTTCGGGCATCGGCCAATCTTAACCTGGGCTCCATGCTACTCTCTAATGGGAGCAGCTGCGAGTAGAGGACTCGTCAACAGAAACAGCCGGTTCGGGCACAGGGCAGCAAACAGAAAAGCAAAGGCCATGGCCTACGCTACGACTGCATCTTCGCCGACAATCTGGCTGGTTCCCTGCGCAGAGGGCCGTGCCACCGTGTGCTCTTCGTCTCCCTCGAGCTGCAACTCGCAGTGGACCTCTTCCTGCAGACCGTGGGAAGAGCATCTTCTCAAGCGCCAATCCCATCGCAGATCTTTGCAACGGACTCTGGGGCCGGGGAAGCGACCTCGCCGTCAAGCTGCAACGCGAAGGCAAGAGCCTCCATGGCTGCTACCTGCCCAGCAGAGAAACCCCGACTCCAGCCCATGAGTGCATGACCCATAAGCCACAAAAAGCAAGTGAACCCCTGAAACCTGTTCTACCCCAAGCCCGTACGGCCCACTTGACTCATCTCCTAGACACTGGAAGGCTTAACGGATCAGGAAGGCGCCTCTGAAACCCTTCGGCTCACCGTTCAAGAATCCCGAATCAACACGTTTTAAACGAGATGTTGTCCGCAGCTGAGAACCTCGATCGGGATTCAATGCGAGGCGGCGCCATGTCCTCCCAGCAGGATGAAGATCTCTTTGCTTGAAGCACTAAAGATGGTGGCAACAAACCAAGTCCGCGTGCTGGAGCTTGCAGAGTACTACTGGTCTCACATAATTCAAGCACAGCCGATGACGCCTCCGAGCACGGAGTCCATGGAAGGCATGGCGGCAGCTGCGAAAACATCCCGTGGCTTTATGCTTGAGGATTCGCTGGATGGAATCTTAGCGGCTAGGGCTAGGGCTTACGGTGGCAGGGCTAGCAGGCCCATTTCAGAGAAGTACAGTTTGCTGAAGAGTGCTCGGTCTTGAAAATGATGAGAAGTCTTCCACACGTCTTCTTGTGTATCCGTGCAGAATACTCTTGCAGGAGAGGAGGCGATGAGGTTGCCTCGGGTTTCCGTTGTTACCCCAGTAACGGGCAGGGGCAGGCTCGCGGAAAGCTTTTGCCACGATTCAGCATGCTTTGCTGAAGCTTTGGCAAAGCAGTCTGGAAGCCAGGGGTTTCCTCACCTTCCAGCACTAACCTCAGCGTTCAGATCCGGGACAGGTCAGCTGCACAAGATCAGGATGGCTGGTGCAAGTCCGAGACGGTGACTGCCACGCAGGCACTGACACCGTCACAGCTTCGACCTCCGACTTGTGCACATCAGCCAGCTTGAAACATGCACAATTTTAAGGAACATATGCACCTCCGCATGATGGAGAAGAAAAGGGTGGGAAAGAGGGTGCGAAGCAGGCGAGCCGCTCGAGCATCCAGAGCAGCAGGGACCTGGCCACAGACAAATCTAAACGCCGTAAGCCTGAAAGGCCCCGAGAGGCCCCAAGAGGCCCCAGATCTTCAGTGCAGCTCTGACTGCCCGGGCCAGCTCTGCTTTCCGCCGCGCGATTGCCGCGAGGACTTTCGGTGCTAACACATCCGGAGCCACGCCTGGAACAGCCCGCAGCAGGGAATTTCGCAAGAGCTGAACGGTGTTTTGTAACCACTCTTTGAGCCTTTGATCTCGGGCTCCACATGCACCCCATCACTTCTGGCGGCGTTTCGTGCATGTTCAGTAGCCTCAGGCAAGTGAGCAATTCTGGACATGAAATACCGCGTCCGCCATCAAGGACCGATTCAGACCGGAGCTATGTACCCCGGACAAACTGTGGTTACCTTGGCTGTACTCCCCATGGGGACACTGTTACACGGAAGCTTGGAGCGTGAAACACGGTGCAACATCGTAGCATGATGAAGCCAGGTCACAGCTATGCCATTGTCCGCCACCTCTGCCCGCAGCGAGTCATAGAAGCCGACGGCAGCATGCTGCCAAGTTTAAGACACTATAGACGGCTCGCAAGTGTATTGCAGACTCCATTCAAAGCTGCGCAAGGATCCTTCGCAGCTGCATAGGCGGTTCGACCAGGCAAGCCGAAGAAGCCCTGCAACGCGGCGCTTTCCAGCTGCTACGTCTTCCATAGCAGCGCCTGCCTGGACCGATGAGATTTGCACTACATGGCCGCTTCGCCTCCAGAGAGAGAAGCAACTTTCACAGCCCCTCGCACGGACGAACACTTTGCTGCTCTGTAACGGGGACATCTCCGCTCAGTCCACAAAAAGTTATCAGCCCTACCAACAAACAAATACTATTTATATATATATATATATATAAACTTCTCAACAGTACGACTGCCGTCATAAACTCAGTACAATCACCATATTCATCATGCTGCAGCTGATAGGAGACATCCTTTTCAGTCGTACAGCATGGTTCAGGCTGCATAGCAAAGCTTCTTGCCAACATGTCCTGTGAGGCCCTGGCGCCTTCCAGACTATGCTGCAGATTGATTCACAACCCGGCCAACGCCAGTTCGTTGGGTTCAAGGTCTGTCTGTCAACATGTTCCTTGGTGGTCTCTAGGTGCTCTCCTGGGGTCTCCTGGTGGTTTCTTCGTGGTCTCTGGTGGTTCTCCTCGTGGTCTGCTGGTTGTCACGGTCGTCCTGGTCGTAGTGGTCGTCGTGAGGGTCCTGAGGGTGCCAGTGGTCGTGGCCTTCAGTTTCGTTATGGTCGTCGTGGTGCTCTTTCACTGTTCGGGGATCTATAGCATAATGGCTTTTGCGCTCGAAAAATCTGCGCCTGCAGTCTTGGTTGGTGTGTAGTGTCGACGGTGCCGGTATCTGAACCGTTGCCGACGGACCAGGAGACCTCCACGAGACCGCCAGGAGACCACCAAACTGTTTTGATTCAGCGCGGCCCACGCTTTTCCCCAAGTACTGGAGCGTTTCAAGCACGGTGCGTACGCTTCCCTCGCTTAACCGGCGAGATTCGGACAGACGACCAAAAACCTTCCCCCCCAAGTACCGTGTTAGACCTTACAAACAATGAACTCGGCTCTCCGGGCAACGCTTAAACAGCGGATCCTCTAATTATAACAGGGCGCGAGATCTGCACCCTGCACGCCACAGGAGCTGTGCGTCGCACTGATACTCTGCAAATAGCAAGACGCGAATACAAAATAGGCAGCAACGTGTCGGGGAACCCTATTGTGCGCACATGCCGCGCGACCAAGTCCCTCTCGGCCACACAAACCAGTGCTCTCTACTCTTTAGAGAACTTCCCAGTGTAGCCACGTCTGATGCTGGCCCCCAAGTCGGCTGCACAGGACTAGGCCTCCTAAGCCAGTCTGGAAGGAGGGCTTTCAGCAGGATCACGCCACTAAAGAAGTCCACGTTCATCACGTGTTGGTCCGTCTTCAAGGCTCTGTGGCTGGTCAAAGCTCGGAGGCTGCGGGAACTGCCCTGCCTCAATCGACGTCTCCTGGCCGAGGCCTCTAAATCCGACCCCACCGTTGTTCACGAGGACATCTACACGCCCGAAGAGACCTGAGGAGCGGAAAAGAGCCATGGAATCGACGCAGACGCAAACGCAAGCAGCCCATGGTGAGACGAGGCACCTTTCGCCTGCTCGGCTGCAGGCTGTAACCTCGAAAGGTCAGAAAGATCCAGCGGCAGCACCTCGCTTCCATGAGCACCGCTCCGAGGATTGCAAAGGGTCCCGTTTGGGTCTCTTGCTTCTGTCTTCAGATCTGGAAGCAGCGCCAAGCATCTTAACCTCAACTGCAACCCTCCAAGGAGGGGGGGCCAAGGCCAAGATGCGCCAAGGTCCTGACCTGACCCTTTCGAGCTCATCCTTTCGACGAGCACTCAGGATCAGGCCTCCAGGCTTGGCCTGCAGAGCACGTGGGTCCACGTGCTCATGCGCGCTCCGCGGACGGGTACGTTCCATGGGGCGAAATCAGCCATGGCTCCGCTTGACAGAGAGCAATGCAAAGTGCTTCTCCAAAGCCAGCGGAAGCTCCCGTCACCCAAACTACCTCGAGGCAGCTCCATGCACAGGACTCACAGTGGAACAAAAAAGATTCCCTCGATGCCTTGTCTGAGAAGTATTCCTGGGCAGTCGTTGGCTCTGAGTTGTGAGGGAAGCTCTTCGCAGGGCGGCAGGGCCTCCATCACAGCCATGTCTTTGCCATGGCGAGCACCCACGAGCAAGCCCATCCGAGACCTGCCAGATCTTTCGAGAACACACGGTGGTCACCAGCGGCGCTGTGGCCTCGATGAATTCGCTCAAAGCTGTGAGCACGGTCCGTGCAGTGGCACGCACCCACCCCACCCGGAACTTGGAACGACCTGCGCATTGACAGGACTCGACGCACTGAAGACTCCATCCAGTCAGCACCCGTGCCTTTGCCCTTACTCCCCTCGCAGTGTCCTGAGAATGAAGCAGAACTCGAACGACTCTAACAACGCATGCAGAATCCTGCAAGGTATGCGTAGTGCTCGGATTCAGAACAGACTCAGGCGTCAACCCGAAAACAAAGGCGGCACACTGCGCGAGGCAAAGGGATGATGACAAACTTAAGCTGTACATGGTGGGCTGAGAAAGGGCAAGCAAATTAACAATCCTACAGTTCGAAAGCATGTGTCAGCAATTCTGGTCGGAACACGGGCAGACCCTGAACAAGCAACTTTACAACGAAGTGAAAACCGACCCTGCCCAAACGGATGGCTCAAACACTTGCAGGCATCGTATTTAGGACCGCAACGTCTTGGAATTCTGGGCCGTGCTACGTGCTCTCTGCTGTGAGCACGGAGCAGCGTTGCATCTATGTACACCAGTGCCCATGGTTCTTCACTCGACAGAGTCAGCGACCTTGGCTCAGGTAACAGGGGGTCGTGCAGGACCGCAATCGTCGAAGCGGCTCATGACGAAGAGTCGGATCGCAGAATCTGATCGTGTCTGAGGCTGTTGGCAGACTGCGAGTTCTCATCCGCCAGCATGGCCTGGTGGGAGAGCAACTGCAACTCCTTCCCGCAGCGATAACCCCAGCATCGGGGGGCACACCTCCCTCATGAGCTGCTCCAACATGTCTCCCAGAAGGGCAGCATTGTGATTCCTGGATGAGAGCCCAAGCACATGAAAACGGAATGTGTTTCAAAAACTCCCTGCCGCAATCTGGGAGCTTCACCTCTCTGGGAAGTGATCGGCTTCCAGCGTCAGAACGCCAGTTTTCTGAACGGGATGATGGAACAGGCGTTTCTTGCAATGCTGACCCAGTGTGGCAGAAACACCAAGGTTTTTGAAAGAGATCATGGTCATGATACGTAGTATGATGCGTCCTTTTCGATCATCCTCAACTCATAAAACGACCATCCCAGCTGCCCCTTGCGCCTCGCAGACCCGGTGATGGCCCACGATGTCCACCAGGCGCTCCTTCTGCCTGGCTGAGGTTCACAAAGCAGAGTGGGAGTGGGAGCTTGTGGCCCAAGATCCCTGACTCTGCATGGAAGGAGTGGAGCACTCACCCTGCGAAATGAACAGTCGTGACCCTTTGTTGTGGGAACCTCAGGCTTGAAAGCTGACAACATCTCTTTTTCGGACGTTCCAAACCGCCAGGGGGTACAGTCCTGTCCTTTATGCAACGGGGCTGCTGATGGAAGGGGACGTCAATGCAAGTTTTCTGGGTGCTTAAAACATGATCACAAGCGGGGTGAAGCAAACCGTGTTTACACGCAGACCACTCGAGTCAACCAGAAAGGCTTAGCAGACTGCTGAACCCTGACACTGAAAGCAAACCCTAAACCCTAAAATGTCTCTACACTTAGGACGGAGTTGAACACACGGTGCTCAAGGAGCAAAAAAACATGAACTTGCCGCAAACCCCAACTCCAAAACTAAGTGGGCTCTGCTGAAACGAGGTCGAAGCGCACCATCGCCACTACCACCGCCACAACCGGTACTAAGCTCAAAGCACGCGGTGGGAAAAGATCCACCGTCTCGCGCACAGACGTGTGTTCGACGACAGAGTCACGCTCAAAACAAAACGGCAGGGTCTCAGACCTTCCTTTATTACTCCAGTTCCGCCCATGCCTTATCCGGGGCCTGACCCGGGATTTCGATCTCCAGGAGAGAACTATGGAACTATGGAAAGCAGGAGACTCCCACCTCTGGGTCAGTGGTAGGTCGCAAAGGCGGACCTTCAGAACTTGGATTGCAACTTCAGGTCATGCGACATCATGCGTAGCAGAACTACTGGGGCACGACGGCCACGGTGCACCCAACCATGGAGCCCTCATACCTGCAGCGAATTGCAGCGAGAACACGAGTCGCAGCTCACAGAGCTCGCACGCTCAGACAGTTTCGAACACGTGTGAGAATAAGCTCTAGGCTCGTTGGGTTCATCGTAGACTGTCGGAGGCCCCCAATAGACCTTCCCATGTGCAGAGTGACCACGCGGCCATGGATTCCTGCGAGCCTTGTAGCTGAGGGTGTGGGGATATCTGAAGCGGATGTGGTTCGCCGAGCGAGGCAGATTGGAGGAGTCCTGAGCTGGGTGCTCTACACAGTGCTTTCGGACAGCTGGGGAGCGGTGTGTCCTGCAGGTCTGTGAGTGGCGTCAGGAACCCTAGCCTGTTGACCTCCTCTGTCGGGTTGTCGTGCGTGAGCCTGCAGGCAGCTGAGAAGCATTGTCGCCGGACTCCCACGCTCCTCAAGTAGGAAATAGCAGCGAAGAGTCGGGGCTCGCGCCCAGCTATTCTCATCACCCGGTAGTTCGTGTAGCGCGTCAGATCCTGCACGCTGCAAGAGACTGTACGCTTGCTTGTCGCCAGCGGCACCCCAGCCACATCAATGACAGGTGCCTTTTTTCGTCGGATGTTGTGCCGACCTCATCAGGCAAAGCCGCCAGCCGATGCTCACACGGCAAGGGTTCACCGGCAAGCTCTCCGGTCAGCTGCCCTCGCCCTCGCAGAGAAGGTCAAAGGACGAGGCCAAGCATCACGTTAGCAACCAGAAGCTGGAAGCCAAAAGATTAACCGCATGCAGCCAGAGGTGGTTTTGGTAGTCAGTGTCCCTTCATGAGTCTCGAAAAGCTCGACCCTTCAGGCTAACCAACTCTGAATGTTACAGGCGTCATCTACAGACTTTGAAGGGACTCCAAGTGGCCTCTTCGCACTAACTGCACATGATAAACCTGATTCAACTCAACCCAACGCCAAGCGGTTCGCTCCGGCTAGAAGGCAAGTGTCCGGGACACAGGAGATCAGATGAAGTAGGTCGTAAATGCTTTCCTTGTGCTTTTAAGGCCAACCCGACACCCATGGACCGTTCGCCATTTTGCATCAAGAATTAAACAACATGCGCAATCGAGCTCTAGCGCTGGCTTGAGGTGCGCCAAAAATATCTAGTGCTGCATGCACGGACTCGTGTACAGAAAGGGCTGCGGAGGTGGTAAGGCATCGGCCATCTGACGTCAAGCCACGCATATGGCGCCGGATGACCATACTCATCTGGTGAGGGCTCTCCTTATTGTTCCCCTCATACCCGCAATTGTCAGCATGAAGTGTGAGCATTCCGATGGCCCGGGCCGGATGCATCACATTGTCGAAGATCCGCTCCATTCTCGGCCCACCACTGGCCGCCTGCCGCAGCTTGCATACTGGTTTCAGGGGATTGCAGTTTCCAGTCTTGGCTGCTGGATGCCCGTCTGGCCTTCTGCTCCTCCGTGCGATCCTCACGCTTCGGCTTCTTCTTGCGCTTGTTGCCCTTCTTGGCCCATCGCACTTGCAGGGGTGCCTCGGTTCCCGATTTCACACGGACCTCTCTCGGAGTCGCGGCTGAGCCCCCGGCCGTCAGGCCAACGAGCCCTTGTGGCAAACCTCGCTCAAATCACGGGAACCTGGACCCGGACAGGTCCTCCCAAGCCGACGCACCTGGAAGAGACTCCGTGGAAAGACGAGCTGCACTGACGGCCGCCCGCATGGCGGCCAACGCTGGTGTTACAGAGCAGAAGGCAAGTATGAAGTGAGTCTGCTGCGATTGTCCCATGTTCGTAGTCAAGGGCTTCTTGATGTTATGGGATGTTTGAGCCGGACATCGCAGTCCAGGCGTCCCAGAAATCAACATATTTAAAGCTATGATATAAGCCCGAGGCCATTAGACTGACCGTCAAGCTGCGCGCTGCAGTGGAGCATCTCCATTGCTAGCGATGTCTCGAGCCTTGCTAGGAGGGCTTCCATGTCCTTTCGGATGCAGCATGCATGCTGGCATAAGAGTCTGGTGTTACTTCCCGAAATGACAAAGCAAACGTTTGCTCATGGCAGCACAACTGCCACAGTCGACAGGAGCTACTCTCTAAGTTGACAAGCCAGCTAGTGGCACAAGACAACGCTTCTGTAGCATTTCGGGTGAAACAGAAAACCGTCGGCAAAGCCTTGCATAGAGAAAGAGTACTCTGAGGGGATGACTCTGTCAGCATCTCTCTGGAAGACTGTTAGCTGGGGGCCCAGAAAGGGCCCCAGGGCCAGAGCCGGCGGCTCGTGCAGGCTTCGCTCAACAGAGCAATCCTACAGAATGCGGGGTCCCTGATGAAGTGATAACTTGGGATTGTAAACTCTCGAGCACGGTTACCACTCACCAGGCGCGAGAGCTGGCGCAAAGTGGCATTGCTGTTGGTCTCGCACCCCTCCTTCAAAAAGTTTATGCGGTCCAAGAGCAAGCGGAAACTGTCACCTCACGGTTGATGATCACCTGCCGTCAAGAGTCACGTGCGAGTGCCACCCAAAGCCCCAAACTCCCAAAGCAGCTCAGAGCGCTTCCCGCCCTTCCTTCGGCCCCCGCTGCCTGGCCTGAATACAGAAAGAAGCCAAAGAGACCCTCGTCGGGGAGAGCCCCGGCCTGCTAAGACTGGCGACCGGACATGGAAATGCAAGCGTAAGCTTACTGTCACGGAACGTGGTGCACTGCGTTGCGCCTGCTTCAAGCTCGGCACGAGTTCACCCGTCTCTTTCAACGGAACAAGGCCTGCCAGGCTGCCGCCGGTTCACCAGCAACAAGCCAAAGGAGAGACATATGGCCACCATGAAGCACATGCCTAAAGCAGTCTTCAAACTATCTCTCGAGGCAACTTAGGCTTGGAGGATGCCGTCGGCCTGGGTCTCCATCCATGAGGCCTCCGACCTCGCCATTGCAGAGTCTAGCGCTCAGTGCGGGTCCGAGGTTCTCGGTCAGAGAGTGCCGGACGCTCTTGCCGCCGATGAATACATGAGGCATGCTGGTTCGCCTGTCGGCAACAGGTCCACGCCCTAGTGACCAACTGTCGAGAAAAGCTGGCTACTAGGTGCTGAGGCGGAAGCCCATAAAGAGTACCAAGCCTTGGAGCCACACGTGGTCGGGGTCGGGGAAGCTTTACATGCTTGCCCTTAAAAGAACGCAAGACTGTTTAACGATGGCGGCTTCTTGACAAAGCATCGCTTGACATTCGAAGACGAGACACTCGGCTCGCTTCGCAGCTTGCTCGGGGGTGGCCAGGAACCACTCGTAGCCGAGGGAGATCTCAGGGCCGTCGGGTTGAGTCAAAACAACCCCATAAAAGCCTCCAAGCTCCACATGCCGGGGCCGGGGGTCGTGGCCTGCCTCCGTGTAGTCGGCACCGACGGAGTCCAACAACTTCTTAGCCTCATATCACTTCTCAGATTTCACACGCTAATACGACCACGGATTCTGCGCCTCCGCCGCGAAAGGAGACCACTCGTAGGTGTAGATCACTACAGGTGCCTGGCCAGGAAATCTTGCACACCCACTTTGAGGCTGGCGAAGACAATGCCATGCCGGGGCTGGCGGAGGTAATGTCTGCTTCGATGGCAGATCGCGTAGCCCACTTGTCGTATCGTCCTGCTTGGATCGCCGCCTCTGCGCATCGTGCCAGGGACCATGACTCATGACTGCAATAGCACATCATCAAGAACCACTGCTCTGCTTCGGCCAGCCCTGAACGTGAAGACACGGCCGAGAAGAAGCCACCAAACATCGAAGTCCAGCCCTTGCTGGACAGACTTCCGACTGCGGGACCCCCGTGCCATCTTCTTGTTACTTTTGTCCTTGCTACCGTTCTGCTCCTGCCTCTCCTTACTCGCACAAGTTGGGAGGCAGGTCTGTACGCGCATGCAGAACCTGTGGGTTGTGATGTATTTTGCACCGCTGCCCTTTCTTTTGTGCTGCATCTCTTGCTTGCCTGCTTGTTTACGACTCTGGCGGGCCCAGCCCTCTTGGGCTGTCGTGGTGGAGGCTGCGCTTTTTACCTACGATTGCGGGATGTTCCGGTAGGGGCACGTTTTAGCCAGAATTTCGGTGATGTTCTGGGCGTCAGTCCCCTGTTTGATTTGGATCCGGGTAAGCGAGTCAGCACGCAGGATCAGCAGACGGAGCTGACTAGAAGACATAAGGAGTGGATGGGTGCAAAAACCCAGCTCTTCAAAGGAGTGTGTCATGCGACAGGACTATCAAGGACAAAACCCAAACCCTAAAAGACGTGGGTGATTGCGAAAACCCAACCAAAAACCCAAACGAAAGGATTGGAGCCCCAAACCATAACACGGAGTATGTTCTAGGAAAACCTAAACACCTGGAAGGAGTAGCTTCAAACCCGTACCAGGTGTTTTGGGCAGGTGCGACAAACCCGAAAAAAATAGCTGGTGCAAGCCCCAAACCCTAATGATGGGAGTGGGTGGGCTGACGCCCCAAACCCCAGCAAAGAAAATGTTGTGCGATAGCCCAAACCCTACAAGAAGTAATTGGCGCCAAAACATGTAGCCCGCACAAGGGGGGTGGTGCGAGATCCAAAACCCTAAACGGAGTGGTTGGGTGTGGAAAGCCAAAAACTTGTTTGGGTGCTCAAGCCCCAAACCGTGAAAAGAGTATGTGTTTGCCGCCCAAAGGGAGAAGTTGGTGAAACCCTGAAAGGAGAAGCTCGTGCACACCCCAACCCAAACTGGAGCGCAGGGGTGCGAAACTCTAAGCCCTGAAAGGAGTAGCTGGTGCAAACCTCAAACCCAAAAATGGAGCGCAGGGGTTCGAAACCCCAAAGCTGGTGAAAACAAGCCCAAAGTGGAGCTCGTTCGAAACGGCAAACCCTTGAAGGAGTAGCTGGTGCAAACTCAAAACGGAGTGGGTTAGAAACTCCAAAAACTGAAAGGCGTAGCTGGTGCAAACCTCAAACGCAAGAATGGAGTGTGGGGGTTCGAAAATAGCTAGCGCGGGGGTTCGAAACCCAAACAGTGAAGGGGTAGTTGGTGCAAACCCCAAACCACAAAATTGGAGCGCGGGGGTTCGGAACCCAAATCCTAAACCCAGAATGGAGTGAGTGTTCAAATCCTGATCCTTGAAAGAAATAGCTAGTGCAAATTCAACCGAAACCCCAAACCCGAAAAGTAGTAGCTGGTGCAAACCCCAAACCCAAAATGGAGCGCAGGGGTTCGAAACCCCAACAAACCCTGAAGGCAGCACCTTGGAGCGCGACGGTTCGAAACCCCAAACCCTGAAAGAAGTAGTTCGCGCAAACCTCAAACCCGAAGTGGAGCGCGGGAGTTCGAAACCCCAGGCCCGGAAACGAGTAGTTGGTGCAAACCCCAAACCCAAAAATGGAGCACGACCCTAATAAAGAGTAGTTAGTTGGTGCAAATCCCAAACCCAAAACACAGTGTGGTTCGAAACAGCAAAGCCTGAAAGGTGTGGCTGGCGCAAACCCCAAACCCAAAATGGAGCACGAGGATTCGAAACCCAACTGAAACGAGTAGATGGTGTAAACCTCGAACCCGAAAAAGGAGTGTGGGGGTTCAAAAGTAGCTGGTCAAACACCACACGGAAGCCTCAGAATGGAGTGCGAGGGTTCGAAACCCAAACGGTGAAAGGAGTAGTTGGTGCAAACCCCAAACCCAAAATGGAGCGCAGGGGCTCGGATTCGAAACCCCAAACCTGAAAAGGAGTAGTTGGTCCAGGCCCTAAGCCCAAAAAAGAAACCCACACCCTAGAAGGAGAACCTGGTGCAAGTCCTTTTGCAAGCCCCACACCCAAACTGGAGTGCTGGGGTTCGAAACCCCAAAAAACTAAAACTAGTAGCTGGTGCAGTGCAAACCCGATATCCAAAATGGAGTGTGGGGGTTCGAAACCCCAAACCCTCAACAAAAAGAGCAGCTGGTGTCACGCCCCAAACCCAACATGGAGTGAAACCCCAAACCCCAAAATGAGTAGATGGCGCAAGAGTAGCCGGTGCAAACCCCAAACCCAAAATGAAGTCGGTTTGAAACCCCAAAATCTTGGAGTAGCTCATGCAAACTGGAGTGGGTTCCACATCCCAAACCCACCAAAAAAAAACGGGTGCAAACTCCAAAGCCAAAATAGAGCGGGTTCGAAACCCCAAACTCTACAAGGAATAGCTGGTGCAAAGTCCGAACTCAAAATGGGGTGCCGGGTCTTGAAGCACCAAACCCTAAAAGGAGTAGCTGCTGAAAAAAGTCAAACCCCTAAAGAGTGGGTGGGTGCTGAAACCAAAACCCCGAAAGAAGTGGATGGGTGCGAAAACTCAGCACTAAAAGGAATGTGTGTCACGCAACTCAAAACCCCAAAAGGAGTAGCAGCTGTTTCGCTAAGTATGTTGATCTGATGGGGCGTCTGTCCCGGATCTAGGTTGCGGTCCTCTGTGATCCGCATCAGTGATCCTGTTCCGTGTGCAGTAACGCATATTGCTTGGATGGTTGATTATGCTGTTGAGACGCGGCACCCGGGATACACAGAGCTGGCAGGCGGAAAGCAGCAGAAGACCATAAAGGACTCGCCGAGCGTCAATCTTACTTGTGGCTTCAACTTTAGAGGAAGAACCTCAAGGTTTTAGTCTCATGTCTGCTCCGTTTTCTATGGTCTGCATCTTCTCCTCCATCGTCTTCAGTTGTCCGTCCTCCTCCAGCTGTGAAGGACGCAACGCCTCTGTCCGGAGCATTGGGCAATGTCGTGTTGCCCATGTGGATCAGGAAACAAGCCAGAGTTTGTCGGCGGTGCCGTGCTGGGCTATTCTTATTGGTCTCCTCGTGGTCTTCCTTTGCTGTTCGTCCTCACTCTGTAACAGAGCCCCGGCCTGAACGACAAAGAAAGGTCTCAGGATGCCTGTGGCAAAGCTGGCCATCTTCATGGGCACGTACCTGACAGTGAAGCTTCCCACAGCCACATCGCAAAAGCACAAGACGACGTGCTCCCAATGGTAAGCCGTGTGCTCCAGGTCATTAGACTCCACTGCAGCTGGACTCCTGGCGCTGTTTGAGAGGGCTTTGTGGAACAGCCCAAAAACTCTGAGAGGTTTACTGCTGCCGAGGCTGTGGCATGCGCGCTTGTCTCGGAAGTTGAGATGCTCTGCTGCCAGCTCTAGGGTCGGCGTTCCTGGTCTGAACCCACACTCTGAAAACTCTCGGCAGTTTGCTCTGGAATCTTTGAGGTGTTGGCACAAACGCCGTCGCAGCCACGGACAAAACCAAACAAATTAAGGCCTCGTGGCAGAGGCTCGCGGCTCGCGTGCAATCTCGTGTGTAGGCCGGGCGCCCAACCGGACGGTGCAAAGAAGCCAACCTCCTACGGCCGTTGCCATGCCTGCAGAGACATTTTGGCAAGCTGTAGCAATTCCAGGGCCAGGCAGAGCCCAGCCTGCGTGCAGAAGCGACAGTGGTTCTGGCGATAGCCTCGTGTTTCTTTCGACAAGAATGTTTGCCCATGACGATTCCTTCAAGATCTCGAACGTGTGCCTCATCAGTGCTCGCCAGCATCGTAGTCGTAGCCAGCTCTCGCCAGCTTTGGGAAAACAGACTGGATGCAGCACCTACCCAAATTTCAAAAATACTTTCGGCCTGTGGGCGAGGACCCAAGGCTTGAGCCAACTCCAAGGCCTAGCGATTTCTGAACCTGGACATCCACGGACACGCCCGAGACCCATGGCCCTTTGCACTGAAACCCAGCCGTCCGTCTGAATCTTCAAGAATATTCCAGCTGACCTATGCTTCTCACGATATCCTGGCCCGTCTGAATCCTATTGAGAGATCTGCCCGCCGACGTTTCTGCCTTCGCACAGCCCAGACCCCGCGAACCCCGCCGGCCTTCCATATGTTGTCTTCAGGCAGGCATCGCAAGCTTACCACAGGCTTGACCAAGATTCTAGACGCTCGTGAAGACGCAGACAACGGGATGACAATAAACCTCGAATCCCTGCAACAATCCGTAGACGGCCAGAATGCACGCCAAGCATTCATCTCTGGCCCATACTCCAGAAAGCATGTTTGCTATATTTGCACCACCATTGCCTGAAGGTAGCTTATTAGTATCTTTGGCTCGTCTTTTCTCTGCACTTGTCCGAGTCCGCAGCTGACCCACTCAGATTGGGCCTCCAGGCAAGCCGCAAGTTCGCACAAGGCATCACCATAGCTCGTTTAGTCTCTGGCTCCTTCGCTTCAAAGCTCTGCCGTGCAGCTCACACTCCCCCCAACCCGTGGGCCGGAGCCTAACAGGAGAGCAAGCAGCATGGGCAGAGGTGCCAATGAGGACGCACTGTTCCAGTGCTCAATCTTGTCCTGGCGAGGAAGCGGAGGTGTGAAGCGATGGTACGGCAAGATGCCGGGTATACCTCTATTCTCTTGAGATCACCGTTGAGACCGTTGAGCTTGGAGATCGCTTCCTGCTTCAGCTACAGCTTCACAGGATGAAGCGAGGAGACGAAGAACAGCCACCGTCTATTGCCTGCAAAGCTTTGTCATCTCCGTTCAACTTGTCCTGTCGGCGGCGTGTGTGTGTGTGTGTGTG